GACTGTTTTGACAAGGAGGGTGGGTCTCCCCAAATCTGACTGGCTGCTGGAGACATATGCTGATGCATACAACCAACTAGCAGGTCCCATAACTGTGTTTGATCACAATAATGATGCCCATCTCCAGATTGTTAAGCAACAGGCTCTTCAAAGGATAGATCCTTTTTAGTTCCAGGTGATGGCACACCAAGGCTTTCAGCCTCTCCAGGTAATACGCGAGGTAATCTCATCATGGTTGACGTGGTGCTGTTGTTTTGAGCCGCATGTGTGTCAGACTTCTTGGTTTATTTATCAAGTACCAGGTTCTGTTGGGAGCTCACTGCGCTCGCTAGAAAAAAATGCCAGATGCGCTCAGCACGTGGAATCCTGGGCTCCGACGGATCATTGTCATCAATCCACAAGCAAGCGAATGGGTTTATGTCTGTATGTACAGGCTTTACCAGTGAGCAGAGCAAATGGTGAAATGAGTAGGTGCAATACATGTACACCCGTTACGTTCCAGTGTCACCCTTAATGTATGGCCAGACCTGTTGAAGTCTGAGCTGCTTCTGCTGCTACTGTTAGACATGCGTGGGCATCATCCGATTCAGTACTGCTGAAAAGTCGCAGCACACGGAAATGTCTGCTGCACTGGCATCCTGTCCCTTTGGCTGTGCGGGGGTTTGCCAACACGAGACTTCGGGATGGAGCCTCGAAGCCATGTTTGTGTGCGAGACAATGTTTCGGATCCCAAGCAGGCCGCTGCATGGTGCGATTCACGTCATCACTTCTGTCCGACTGATTGAAGCCTCTGGCGTTTGTCGCAGCTACTCAGCTACTGAAGCTTGTGGTCAATGATCGTTTCCTGTCTTGTTCATATGCTTCTCGGTGTTGCCCGTTTCTTACTTCGTTCTTGATTCTTGATCAAGCAAAGCAACTATGCCTTGGCATTGGGGGTGACGATGTTCTTCAGAAGTGCTCAGCATCAGAACTTGCTTGCTGACGCTGGCACAACTTGTGTATGCGTTGGTTCCCCAAAAGAACTGGCAGCAACAGCCGCAGCTCAGGTTGAAAACTTCTGATTGGCCGTGCTGCAGCAAGTTTTCCAGCTTAGGGTCGACAGCAAATCTGGGATTGTCGATGCACGGACTTGACTCTTCAGCTGCACGGGCCAAAATGACGAAAGCTCTCACCGAGCGACGGATGTGCGTTGTGATTACGAGCGGATGTTGGCGTGGGCTGGCAATCCAACTGTCCATCAGGCTCTCGCGCAAGTCTGCGGCTCAAAGCAGCAGGTAGAGCCGACTCAGACCTACACATCAGCATGACAAGCATGCTGGGAGCCCAGTCTGCCACGTTGCTTTGGGTGCACTGGGCCCACATTTGACTGTGCGCAGAGGGTGCCAGTCGACGTCTCGAGCGATGCCTGTCTTTGTCGGGAATGTAACACCACTGTAGCATTGCAATGAGGTTGAGTAAGAATGTCTCCAAGCTATCCAGAATGCGGCATGCAGCCCAGAGTCAACCAGCCATTTCGTTTCCCATCTTCCTCTGTAGTGTAACGGGCGTCCAGAACTTGCGCAGGCCACTTTTAAGCCCAGCGAGGAGAACGTTCTCTGAAGTATCAACTGATGTGAAGCAGCAGATTGAGGCTGGTTCCAGCAAGGCCGTCCAACTTCGGACGTTAGACTGCAGAGTGGCCTCATGTAGGCGAAGCCGAAGAAAAAGGCTCCACTTGGTTCGCGACTTCGAAGTTTCATCGCAGGCTTCACTGTCGTCGCGGCCCCATTTTCTGGCTGTGCTAGCTCTCGGCAAGTTGCAGATACCGTGATCGCAGGCGGGTACATTGTCCGGCTATGCCCTCTATTATAAGGCACGACGAGTACAGAATTTATTGTTTACTTGCAGCATGCATGGCTCGCATGTGACGGATACAGGTGCAGTGGGCGAATGAAGAGCTCGCAGCTATGGTGCATGACCCGATGACATCACAGGGCTAGCAAAGACGCAAGTCTTTACCCTTTGAGGTCAGAGAAACAGCTGCGCGACAGGCCCAGATCGAGAGGCGCCTGCCTCTTGATGTTGGGAGGCCTGTCCTTGTCAGCTTGGTTGGAAGGCGCCTCAGCCAATTGGATGGCCGATGATTTGGAATGCGTTTAGCTTTTAGAGAAATGCTGCGGAGAGAATAACATGTTCATGCGTTGCACCTTTCATCGGGTTCATCAATCAAGATTATCCTCTCAGTCAACTTGACACGAGCTCATGATGGATCATTTTCGGGTCACGTCACTGATAAATCTAGCACATCGTGCTCGAATACAATAACACGGTTTTGTTCTACGATCACGTTACGAAGAATCATTGCGAGAGACCACACCGACTCAGATTTGAGCCTCCGCTTCCCATACACACAACTCAACCACACAGAAGCCACGCATTTACTTGCAACTCGTTGAATGCATTCTGTGGAGAAGAGACGCCGCTGTTTCACGCTTGCTTCTTTCTGACTTTGGGGGGACCAGAAGGCGGTATTTAGATATATTCCGGATAGAGGAGTATGATAAATTAGATTAACAATGGTTTATAGATAGAAATCTTGGATTCTATTTTTCTGAATTTTTTGATTTATTAAATAAATAACGTACTATATAAAAAATATTATCAAATAATAAACAAGTCTTCTTCGAAATCTTCAATTAATTGAAATGCATATTTCTAGATATTACGATTTTATTAGAATTAAAATCTATTTGCGTCTGGAGGTATTATCTTATTTCTATCTGCTTCCCTCTATTTTTATCTATTACCTTAGATATGTTTCTCCCTATATAATATATATTACGGCTTTAAAATAATCTTTATATACGATTTATATAAAATCTAAATTTTCTATTATAAATTTCATTTCGAATTAATTTATTCTTAGGTTTTCTATCGTAATCTAGAAATTTTATAAGAAAAGGAAGATCTAGTATTTTAATATTATTCTTAATTAATTTTTCTTATATTTTGATTTTTTTTGTTGGATTTATAATATTAGATAAGAAATTAGATTCTTTGTTTTAAGATTATTAGACTAAAAAGATTTGAATAAGAATATATTTATTTTGTTTTGTAGAGTCGTATTTATTTTATATGAATGTTTATTTTAATTGTGTTTTCTTTATAGTTATGTGTTACAGACTTTTCACTATTTCTTCTAAATATATTTATAGATAAATCCGGTTTTTTTAATACATTAAAAAAATAATATAATATATAAATTTTTTTTTAAAGAATGAATCTTTATTTTATTTAATTTTTTTAAATAAATAATCTAAAACAAGATATATCTATATTAATACGATCTCTGCAGATTACGATGCTATGTTAATATTGTATTATATATATTTTTTTCTTTGTTCTTTTCGTTTCCAAGATGTACCTCTTTTAGGCCTTAGTTCGAGGGGTTTAATTTTAAAAATTAAAAATTCTTCGTTATATTAAAATCAAATATAATTGGACAAACTTCTCGTCTAAAAGAAATTTTAAATAATAAATATTTATATCAGAAATTATGTAAATAGAAAAAATATAATTTTCGTCCAAGAGATTCATAATATTATTCTCAATTATAGCATCTCTTGTACGAGTCATAATTTTTAAAAATAAAATCGTATTATTTCAACCAATAGTCGGAACCTATAATATCCATATAAATAAGAAAGAAAAATTCGAAATTTCATATAAAATAATATTAGAAAAAATCATTTAGCAAAAAACGAAAAAATCGAAATAATAATTCAAAAATAATAAATACCGACAATTTCAAATTAACAAACCAAGTACCACACCCTTCAAATTTCAAAAAAAATAATAAATTTCAATCTCAATAACCATACCTTCTTCTTTTTGAAATATTTTTAAATAATATATCTACTACCCAAAAATTTAAGAACTAATAACTAATAAGCCTTATCTATTTTATACAAGATATATTTTTTTTTCAACTTCATAAAAAAATAACGAAAAGTAAACCGAAATCTAATAAAAAATGCCTAAATAATAAACGAACTTACTCAATAGCAACAATTAATAAAAAATAGAAAACAGATTAAATTCCTATATTAGACAACAATTTTTAAAATATATAATAAGTGATTAATTCTCCTAGTTCTATTAAGAAAAGAATAATTTATAAAATAGGAAAGAACAAATTAATATATAGACTCCCTATCTACTAGAAGCTTGAAATAGATACATTAAATCCCACTATCAAAAAATATAACAGAACTAATAATCTGCCACACACCAAACGCTCAAAAAATCTGAATATTTCTTACAACCTCCAAATGAGCAGGTTAGATGCAAAATCCGCATCTTCAAATAAAATGATAGATTTCACCCTCTAAATTCGAAGATCATCGGCACCAGAATTCGTAAGCATCCCGCTGGTGAGGAATGATGAGTGGCATATCCGGTATCCCGAACTTTGGCAGTAGCTAGTGGGAGCTTGAGCTCGGTCATAATCATTTGTATTCAAAATGGGCAGCCAACACAGTCAACTATAGAACGAGTGATTGGATTCCACGTAGTACGGAATAATGAGCCGCAAATTACAAACATAAAAAGATCAGACGAATGATAGTGTGTAATGCGAAGTCCGGAACTTTGGAAACAGTGACTCTTCATTGACGGGCGGCAATCCCGAATATTCTGACAGGAGGATTTGACCCCCGAAACCCCAAATTTTCACTCTACTGCATGACTGGGTCTATCGCCTACCATTTACTGAAAGAGCTTAGGCACCAAAAACAACACTAGACGGGGCTACTTCATTCGTACATGATGGAACTCCTGGTTTCGGTAAAAATCAGAGGACTCGTTGTATCTGGTCGACCATCCATATATGTACATGCAGGATTATCTGGACCTTTTGTGGAGAACCTGTCGCCCCATACAAGACCCGTGTTTACTTACAAGAAGTGGCGATACTATCTGTTACTACCTTAAACATGCTAAAAAAAGGTTTGTTTTACTCGCAAAACACGGGCCCGTATTCCGACGCACCCTCTATTCGAAATATAGTGGATTTGTAGGGCTATTAATAACTCCATCGAACATGTATAATGGGCGGGTACGTTGATCGATATGCCATCAGCCATCATTAACGACCAGGGATCACGAGAACTCCAGGAAAATCGAGCCCATTACCGACACCAGGCTTGAAACCGAGTTGCGTTAGGCGTCCGTCTCATTCGGGAGGACATCTCTGGGTGTGGTGCCACAATTCCAGTAGCAATCGGTTTTGGAAACTATTTGGACTCACTGCATGGCATCAGGCATGGCATCTTGCCTCCTGATTGCACCGGTTGAGGACCGAGCTTTCTTCCACAATGCTTTGTGTGGAATCGCACCCAACTTTGGAGGTGCAGCCAGCACGTCATCCCTGTAGGAGGCTGGAGGCCCGCGACTCTTGCACACGGCTTGAAGCCCTGGAGAGTGGCGAATCTTTGGTTCCTGCTGCATTCATGCATGCAAAATGGAATGCACGAGTATTCACTCTTTGGACGTTAGGCGCAGGGCCAGATGGGGAATCCAGCTGCAAGTTCTTGAATGTCAGCCTCAAGACCTGAAAGACACAAAAAAGTCCGTCTCAGCTTTCTGGCCTTTTTGACGTCTCCTTGAAGACAGCCTTGTCATGCTCGAAAGGGGGGCAGTACAGTTCTCCTGTCGCAGACCTGCCCGTACACCGCCACCTCGATGTGCATAGAGGAAAGGTAGAACTTCAGTCTGAGTGATTACAAACAACTGCATCATCTGCGCCACTGCCGCTAGGGATCAGACTTCCTAGGCTCCCTTCCCAACTCTGGTGTCAACAACTGCGGCGAAGGAGCCATGAAGCTCGTGCTACACGACTGCACATGACAAGAGCCTCTGTTGTTCCAATCAGCGTATCCAGGCTCAAGGTGTCGGTGGCCTGAGGCGAAGCATGCCAAGCCCGCTAAATCGCAAGTGGACGGACCGGGTTCCGTCATCTCTCTCCACTTGAAATTCTTCTGCCCGTTTCTGAATTCGACGCGCAGATGGCAGGCATGTTGTCCACGACGGCGGCAAAAAGACAACTTTAAAAGGCAACTGCCCTTCTGAGATCAGCTGCCTGTCTCAGTCGAAGCAGAGACGATGTGTCAAAGGCCGACTGTGCAGAAGTTCAGCCACAAGTGCAGGTTCATTCCGAGCGTGATCAGACTCGCGACTCGAAAGCCAATGCACGCTTAAACGCCCCCGCTGCCGACCCACCACTGCACAGTCTCAACCTGCCGTTTCCTTCCGCATGCTCACATCTGTGTATGTATAAACTGAACCTGCATGCAGCAATTGGCAATGGTGATTATTTCAGAATTCAGTTCGTCGAGGCACCTGCCATTACCACTAAATGAGGAGGCACTTCGTGGTCGCAGGAGCATGCGTCCGCAGGACACGAACTTCTCGCAGAGTCTTTGCTGCACAGCCCTCAGTAAGGTCTGGACACAGCATGGAGGGCAATAAAAGAAGCCGTCCTTCCACAGTCATGTCAAAGCCTTCAACAGCAAGCAACTTTGTCCTCACGACTGGTATTTTGGGCGCGCCTCATGTGGATACATCGCCTCCCACTTGCCCCCACCCCAGCCTGAGAGTCTCCACATTCTGGCGCTCAGAAGAATGTTGACAGACACACTTGATATCACTTCATGTGTATTGACCACGCCTTGGTTCTTGCCTATCTGCCTGGCCCATCCTGGGCAATGAGTCTGCAAGGTGCGCACTGCTGCACCCTCTAAGCGAGGCTGTCAAGGCAAGCACGTGTCGGCACGTCCACTCGAAGAGACTTGTGCGCCAGCCAAGGGGGACCTCAGCAAAAGCTTGCAGTGTGTCTCAGCCAACAACAACTGCTGCCACCGGGCTGCTGTAAACACAACCATCCTCGCCCAAACCAGCAACCACCTTAGCGGAAAGTCTGCCAATGAAGCGGTTGAGGCATCAGGAAATCGAAAGCGAGCCGCCCATTTGAAGCCGCCGCAGCAAAGGTCTGGACCTCTCATTCTACAAAGCCAGACGGTGGTGCGATGTTTACTGGACCAGCCCGCAGCCTACATAGTCAGCATCCGGTGTTAGCGGGTCGATG